TACAGTACAAAGAATTAATGAAAGAATAAATTTTATAATCAATTGTTCAAGGGTATTTTGTAGAATACGTTGTCGTTGTTCAACAAACACATGTCCTCTCGGATCCATTGGATTAATGGCAATAGTTGAAAAACGCTGACTAATTACTGCACCAATAGTGATTAATAATGGAAGAATATCCAAAAATGAAAGTTGTAAAGTAAATATTAAACGTTTTGCCAATGATAAAGATATATCATTGTCATCGATTAGTACTATCCATGGAAATTGGTCAAAAAAAGCTAATGCTAATATAAGAGTCGTAACGATAATAGAGATCACTCTTAATAGTCCAAGTTTGCGTTTGTAAGCGTCCATCTGTTCTTTTTGTTTATCATCAGTTTCATTTGTCATTTTGTGTTCTATCGAAAGAAAAAAGTCCACAAAGTAATCATGATAAGTTGCGTACACTGTCTTAAATACAGTGGTAGTGTAGACGTCATCTTATTATTACAGAACAACTCTATGCTCTTACCTTCTCTTAATTAGAAAAGCTTTTCAGCGTTGCGCTGTGGGTATGGGTATGGATGGATGAGTGAATGCATGACGGTCCTCACTTCGTCCACAACCAACACACTCACACCGACCCACATCCATCCTCACATTTACATCCACACCCCCTAATGTGCGCTTGTCTTTGACAGAAGAGGCAGGACAAGTGGTATCTTTATTGTAACTCTCATAAAAAGTAAAACTAACGAAACTGCTTGCGTCTAATCTTCTCAAAAAGTTTCTATTTGTCGCAAAAAAAACCATTATTCATTCAATTTGAGATGTTGATGGAAGCGTTACATGTCCATTTTTCTTCATGACATGAGTTTCTCATTATGAAAATGTGCTAACACCCTTTTTCATACCTGTGCAACCCATTGTTATCATTTATTGACATAACAAGCATGTGCTACGTGTTTTGTTATCAAAAATACATACATGTTGTATTTTATCGTTGCAATATATGCTTATTTTTTTGTTTTTCGCTTCGTAGCCTTGATGTGTAACAAAACCAAGGAGGAAAATGCGAGAGTTTAGTACTTCGAAGTACGAGTGAAGTACGAAAGTTTTGCTTTTCTTCCTCGAACAAAGCACTGCCTTCTTTCTTTTTTTTCTCTGCTGATGCTTGAGAAAAAACTCCAGATATGATTAGACTCATGTGCCTGCGCAAGAAAGAAAACCATGTTACGTAATCCAAAAATATTACTTACCTGCATCTATCAGTTTGCGGCTTCAGTGCACCTAGAAAGGCAGAAAATCAGCAAAAAAGCACTTTCTCGATCGGCTGTTAAATCAGAGTTGGACCTTAGAAATACAGTCATAAAAAAGGCACCATCAATGAAAAAGAAGAAGAAAATGTGCATAATCATAAACATTCGATCTTTTTCCAATGATTAACAACTAATTCAGAAGAAATCATTCATTCAATATTTTACTTACATTTCAATTTGATTGAAATTATGAGATTATTCCATTTTTTAAAAATGCGTTGTAGAATTCTCTACAAAAAATGCCTATCGTTTCTCCGTAAACCTATTTTGGATATAGTAGTATTGAAAAGAAGAATAAAACTTCCAGACTATTATACTTTGCAAACATCAATCCGATGTTGACTTTGCGAAAAATCTTTCGTGATTTCAATGACATGTAATCATTTTAGATAATTCAAGATCGATGAAAATTACCAATGAAATTGGTTCTGTTATAGATAGTAATATGAAAAGTCAAAGTACGGCTAATAAAGATATGAGTGTCAAAGTAGGAGTTGGTGTGAAAACTGAACATATTAGCTATGATTGTGTGTAAGGGTGTAGCTATTCGATGGTTATGGAGTGAAGCTTTTATCATCACTCTCCCTTACACTCATATCACGGCTGTATATCAAAAAGTGATTCGTAGAAGCGATAAGAATATTACTAGGATTTAATACATGATGAAGAGCCTTCCTATTTCGTCTGCCATCGTCATCTAAATGATCCGATGATTGATAATTGATAGAAAGTAAAATAGAACTACAAAAAAACTTTTCGATAAGTCGTTCAATGTTAGAGATCTTGAATTAAACTAAGAACTTCTATCGTCTTCTTCAGATCCTATATTAGGCTCTCTATTAAGAACATGTTCTAAGAAGAGAGCAGACAATCGAAAAAATGATATAAACCATGATATGATGGGAAGACAAAAAGCGTTCCGAGTATATTGACTAGTAGAAGAGAGCTCAAGGGCAGCATTCTGATATATGTTTTTAACAGCACGATATAGAATTCATCAAAATCATCACTGCTTCACATTAATTGAATCTGATCTATTATAAGCAGTAAAGACCGATAAAAGTCAGGCTTTGCCATGAAAAAGAATGCATGATGGAACATTGAAGGTGTAGATATTTCCTCTTTATCAGCTAATAGTTTTAAATGGTTAGAACCACGAAATATTCTTGAAGGGTAAGATTGGCATATTCAAACCCGTCTAGATCTCGCATGGCAACGAAGCTAACTTTCGAGTTCAACAGATCAGTAAGTTCTTTCGATATAGCTGATAGTCGCTTTGAGGAAGCTTTAATAATCTTTTCCATGTTCGTGGGGTGGTGTTAGAGATACAAACAATAGTCGGGTAAGATAGAGTCTGTCGAATAATCCAGAGAAGCAGTTATGATGAATATGAACAAACATGTTCCTAAGATCCATTTTATTAACTAATTTTTCAATACCCCCTGGAAACACAGCTCAGGTGTTAATCACAAAGCTCACTGTTACTTCATAAAGTGCTGTGCGTCAAGTTAGTTCAATATGTCCCAACCTTTTTGTAGAAAATATGACAGTCAAGGAAAGTAATATTAGATGACTCAAAATCTTCTTCCTTGCACGATCAAGCATTGTTTTTACTTTTGTACCCTTTTATTTTCGAAAAAATTCTGCCTTTTCTTTACACAATAATGTGATATTTAAAGAGTGCATATACGGAACAGTGTTGTCATGAATATGAAGGAAATGGTATTCGATAAGTTATTAGAATTCATTTTGATTCATTGGTTGAATGCAAAAGTACTCGAACCGATGGTAACCCTGTTCTCATCGTCTATTTTATTTTACTCACTATTAGCCCTCTCTTCACTCTTGAAAGTTATATTTATCCTCATTAATGGATTCAAATGTTAGTGATCGTATACATTTCTTAAGAATGACTTGATCATAGTAGCTATTTTGAGCTGTAATTTAGGCATATACTTGAGCCTATGGATGCGGGTGTTGGTATAGTATGCCTCTTCATCGATACATCTTCATTCACACTCACATTTACATTCTCAAGTCCTAAATGGAGGAATCGAACATCAAAAGGACACAATAATATTTTAAGATATATCATTAGAAATGCTGCTACTGATGATGATCGACAAGCTTGAAAAAGAACTTGATACTCCAGTATATATTGAGATTATGGCATTATTTATATTCTAGAGTTTCTATGTGATGAACTAATAATTTACTATCATTAATATTGTTACTTGTACGAAATAACTAGAAATTATTTTTATACGTTCTTTTTCATGCATTCGTACATTAATCTAAAAGGTAAAGTAAAAATGGATTCATATTTGATTAATTTTTTTATGAAATATTTCAACGTCAGCATTGGCCATAATTGCCCAATACATGATTCGGTTGTTCTCAACATCTATAGTCGTCTTGCATCTCGATATATTGTGATCAAGAAAAACAAGAAATCAAAATTTGATCAGAGCGATATTTGGAAGGATTCCATGAACTAATATAACATGAGATATAATCAATGGAACGAAACTTTCATGGTTGAAGAATTTTCATTCAGAAACATTATCAATTACGGTTTGTCTATTCAATAATAGTAAAGAAAGAAAAAAACCTTGATAAATAGTATTAAAGATAAAATTCTTCATTTTTTATAGAGGAACTTCTATGGACAAAATACGTTACCATTGGTCAAAAGTTATTAGAACGAAGCAAGATAATAGAAGAAATTAGAAAGAATATATTTTTGGGACGAAAGACAAATGAATTAGCATTATTAGTTTCAAAACAATTAAAAAGTATTATATGAATGTTTTCGATTGTCTCATAAATCTGTCGAGTTAAATCAATTGGCGCATTCGTATCAGCATTAGTAAGCACAATAACACCAATAGTATGATTTTCATTAACTAACATTAAATGTGTCATGCCCGGTAAAGCACCACCATGACCTACATATTGACGACCATCATTTAGTGTTCGCCAATGTCAACAGAGTTCGTATCTTCGTGGTGGAAGTTGATCTATAGAATTAATGCTAGGATTTGTATTATAAGGATGAATAAGACCACCACCGACTACTGTTTTCATTTCAATAATAGATCGAGAAGAAAGGAGTGGAGATTCATTATTAATAAACATTTGAAGAAAAGCAGATAAAGAACGAGCTCACATTCGTAAAAGACCGGTAGGATAACCACTGAAACCAAAAAAAGAAAAATGCAACCATGTTGAAAGATTATCCTGGAAAAAGAATAATTCTTAAGAAAAAGACCTACTATAAATAGAGACATTTATCTTCATTTGACTGATATTTAATTGAGGCATTTCTTGAGTCCATAGTTGAAGAAAGGATTCATTAACAGCATATGCATAGTGCTTAACGAGTTCATCTATATTTTGAAAATCAGCTAGACGAACACCAACTCTTCGAATATCAATATTCAATGGTTTGAAAATATTTTCTTTAACATATTATTCATAGGGCATTTTAGTAATTCGCTCAACAACCAATGCAGCCAATGACGTACCCTCATAAGAATAAAGCGTTGCATTTCCTGGTGGTCTTGGTAACCAATTCGATGAGTTTGGACTCAAATATTTAAACAACATATCAGCCAAAGTTTCTTTGACAAATGCACTATCACCCAATTGATAGAAAGTGCTCTACAACTGAGCATCAACAGCAATTAATGAAGAATGTCAAAGTAATTTACGCAACGTAATCGGATTAGTTGGAAAATCTGGATGAAAGATTTTTCGATCAGGTTCCGATAAATATTGGTTAATATCCGTATCAAGATCAACAAGTTCTTTCTCGACTAATTGCATGGCAGCAACAGCAATGAATGTCTTTGAGATAGAAGCCAGGGCAAAAATCGATTGCTTTACATCCATAATTTTTGTCGGTAATAGAGAATGGTAACCAAAACCATCTTCATAAAGTATACTCGTAGCATTCACAACAACGATTGTTGCACCTGGAATATGAACTTTATTGAGAGACTGTTCAATTGCTTGTCGATTTGGGCAATTTGAATTGCTGCTAGCACTGACAAGGAAAGTTGCAATTAATATTAATGAAAACATTATTTTTGACTTTAAAGTAAAAATAAAAAGCGATTTTACATCACTACATGAGTCGTGCATAGAAAAAAAAATGTTCGAATCACGTCTATTTATTGTGATAAAATATCTCTTACATACCATAAGCTTACAAAATAATTCAAACTCTATTGAAAATTGAAAGAAAAAAAAAGAAGAACAAATATCTACATTGAATTTTGATACATAACATTTCTGACAAAGATATTGATATGCTAATCCGATGTGTCGATCATCGTTTAGTTTCAAATAGATTAATAACAATATTAATCATTGCCGAGAGTACAACAGTATGAATATCAGAAAGCTTTTTTCTATCTGTCGGTTATTTTTATCTACTGAGTATGTAGTGTAGAATGACTCAAATGAAATTTGATCAAAGAAAAGGTTCTACGAAGCTGAAGTCTGTAAATAAGAAACACCACTTCGTCGTTTACTACTGACATAAAAAAAGCTGGATACAGTGTGTATGAGTTCCATCTATACATTGTGAATTGCGAAGTCCAGACTTTTCATCGAAGGAGTAATCGTCGTGAACCATTCGTTGCAAAAATTTCACTGCATCGGCAAGTCGTTCCGGAACAACAAATTGCAATATTTTATTATACAATGTATATGTGCATCTCCAATTGATTTTGTAGGAAATAATGACAGAGAGCGAATTTTAGAAAGAAAAGTTCAATATTCTTTTGGGCCCTCATGGACATTTGATAAATAACATAATTCTGTTTCCTCAAGAAAGCATCCAAAAGATGATGTAAGAATTGATCTTATTCTTCTGAAAGATGAAAATATCTGAAGAAAGTGTTCATAAGTCAACGATTATCTTTTTCTGATGGTGGTATTTGTCTCTTAAAAGTTCCTCGATAGATGCCTATGTTTCAATATGAAAAAGGTTCAAATTAAAAAGGATCGATAAGAAACACAAGCCATCATATATATCCGGAGCTTCGAATCTTTTCTCGACGTGAAATTTAATAACCAAAGAACGATATGACGTGTATACCTTCTTTCTGTTACTATAACTGAGTTAGTCGCAAGTATTTCGTATATGTATTGAGTAAACATTTTATTAAAACTGAATAAATCTATATTGGTCTTTTAGTTTCCGATTGAAGACATCATTACTAACATGCATCTCATAAATTTCAAAAATTTGTTTATATGCAATTACTAGATGTCACTAGAAACTATATTCATCTTACTTGATCAATTCAATTGGTCTTTATTGTTCTCTAATCATCTGAATCGAAAATTTCGTACTTAATCATTACTGTACTAAATATATTTTCTATTTCTACAAGGTTCATTTTTTTATTTTAACTTTTTTTCAGATTATCTATAGTTAACAACATGGTCAAAATAAGTACGTATGAATTTTCTTCTCTAAATTTCTATCTCTTTTAAAAATATTTAGACAAAAAAAGTAAACGAGTCTCCTGTGCACATCGATATAGCATAGCCAAGAAAGTTCGTGCTCATAATAAAAAAGTGCGTAAAGAAATACGAAAACATCCTGAACTTAAAAGTAATTATTAGCTAAATATTCTAATTTCTTTATTGTAATTTTTAATTTTAAATAATTAGAAAGAAAATCAAAAGATATAAAAATACCAAAATTAGCTCCATTTAAAAATGAATTATTACAACAAGCTGAAGAAGCTAAAAAACAAGTTTGTTTGAGCAAAAAAGCCATTCATTCGAAATCATTTTTATTCTCCCTTACTTTTTTTTTTAGTTAGAACAAGAACGACAATTAAAAAAACAACAACGTGCTTTAGCTCGTCAACAAAAAAAAACTGAACGGCCTAAATCTTTAGAATCGATGATAAATGATGCTGAACGACGACAAGATGTATTTGGCCATGAACAAAGTTCAACAGTAAATATAATTTATCTTGATTGAAATTGAATCTTTTTCTATATATTTTAGAATGATCAAATGCATTTATCAGCTGAAGTTGGTGAAGGAGATGAACGATCTCGAAAAACATTTTATAGAGAATTCAAAAAGGTCGTCGATGCATCAGATATAATCATTCAAGTACTTGATGCACGTGATCCTCTTGGATGTCGATGTCCTCAGGTTGAAGAAGCTGTTTTAACATCAGGAAAAAATAAAAAACTTATTTTATTACTCAATAAAATCGGTATTGATTATTTTAAAGTTAATTGAAAAGATTTGTTTATTTTAATAGATCTTATTCCACGTGATAATCTCGATAAATGGTTAAAATATTTACGTAATGAATTTCCAACAATTGCTTTTCGTTCATCAACGCAAAATCAACGTGATCGATTAGTATGAATTGATATTTAATCAAAAACAATTTCTTGAATTTGATTTTTTTATCTAGGGTCATGTTAAAGCATCACTAAAAGCTTGTGATGAACATTTACTTAAGTCATCAAATAAATGTATTGGTGCATCGACGTTAATGAATCTTCTTTCGAATTATTGTCGAAAAAATGATATTAAAACAAGTATTACTGTTGGTATTGTTGGTAAAAGTTTCATTTAAAAACAAAAAAAAAACAATTATAATAATTGTTTTTGCTTTTGTTCGAAGGTTTTCCAAATGTTGGAAAAAGTAGTGTGATTAATAGTCTTAAGCGGAGTCAAGCATGTGAAACTGGATCAATGCCTGGAATAACAAAGTAAAATTATTTTTCAAATATTTACATTTTATGGAAAATATTTTTTTTAGACAAATGCAAACCATTAAATTAGATAAATTAATTAAATTATTCGATAGTCCTGGTATTGTTATGTCAAAAGAAACGAATCCAGCTAGTCTTGTTCTTCGTAATTGTATTCGAGTAAGTTAAATAGAACAGAAGATTTCTTACATAAAAGTGACAAAAATCAATCAATACAATAGTTAACTGTAGGATTGAAAAGTTTATTTTAGAATTATAAATTCAGCTAATATTCGTTTTTAGAAGAAGTATCTAATAGCATTTCGAAGTACGAATTAGATAAAAAATATATAAGTTTTGTTTGTATTTGTATAAAATCTCACTACAACTGTCGCATCTAGGAAAAATTAAAATTACTCATCAATATTGAAAAATTGCCTCGTTTTTGCTTGGTCACTCAAGAAGAATCGTTTGTGTTCTGTACTATTGGAGTCCGTTTAATCTTATATTTTGAATTGTAGTTTCCTAATTGCGCCCAAAAATTAAGCCAATTAATGGAAAATGACTGCTTTTTTGAATGATTAAAATTGCATTGCCTCATTTTTGTTGTGTCTCCAAAAAAACGACCATTTCTTAAGTAATTAGTTATTGCATAATTGGATCATGGTTTGTATATTGTTGATAGACATAGAAAGATGAGAATGAAAATGACATTTCATTTGATACAACGCATACTAAGTTTACTTGGTGAACAATTTTATATCGATTAAAACGTGAAAACCAGAACGGTTCGTTCATATAAATTTGTACATTTAAATCATGTCCGCGTATTATTACTTTAAAAAACGATGTAATTTTAAAATGCAATAGATGTTGAGGTAAATGTTGATTTTGTCTTCCTCTAACACTCACACCATCAAGATCAAAATTTTAATTCATATCAAAAAGTCTTACGTAGTGTTTCTCATTAATATCTATATGTTTTTAAAGATGATAAAGAAAGTAGTGTATTGCTCATTAATTGAAAAGTGACCGAATTTTGAAAATGCAATAAAAATGAGGTAATGATGAATATGAATTATAATAATAAACAGCTGTGGATCTTGTTTCTTGAACTCAAAAGATATTAAGTGTTGATTTCGGAGTATACTTATAATAAAAAAAGAATTAGATGCTTGAACATATACGAATAACATCCTAATCCTACATTGAACAAATATTTTGTTACGTTTTATTATATATTAAACGATGTAAATAATATATATCTATCATTTCTAATCGTATTATCTAGATTGAAACAATTGAAGATCCAGTTCCAGCTATTGAATTATTACTTAATCGATGTAGTAAAGAACAAGTAAACATCTATTTTCTTTTGATAAACAAAAACTAATTCATAGTTGTTGTTTTTTTCTCATATAGATGATGCTTCAATATAATCTAAGTGATTTTCAAGATGTTAATGAATTTCTTTCAAAAATGGCTTTGAAAATGGGTAGTTTAAAAAAAGGTGGAATACCTGATATAAACAAAGCAGCACAACGAGTACTTTCTGATTGGACTAATGGTAAACTGACCTATTTTACAGAACCACCTGAACGTACATATGAAATAATCAGTACTGAACTTGTTACACAAATGAAAGAAGCATTTGATATTGATGGTCTATTAAAAAATGAAAATGAACAATTAAAAGATTTACATAATACTCCACTTACTGGTATATCTCTTCCAGCATCGACTCCAACACAAGCTGATATAGATTTAGACAAAGAAGAAAATATGTCAGAAGATGAAAATAATTCCATTGAAGAAATGAATCAAGATAATGATGATGATGATGATGAAAATCATCAACCGACAGCAAAAGATTCGAAAAAAGTATTTTCAAGAAAGTAGATTTTATTATTTTTTCATATATTAAGTTTAATTAAGGTTCGTTTTATGGTTCAAGTAAATGACAAAACTAAACGTTTATCAAAACAACAAGCAGCTGATTTAGCTGATAAAGAACATGATAATGAAATTCAACGATCAATAAAACGATCAAATCTTGTTCGACAACAAGAATTTAAAAAACTTAAAAAACATCAAAAGAGAACAGGTAATGCAAAATTTTTATTTTATTAAAAGATTTCAAATTCTTTTTCTATTTTTATTTTAGAAAAATCCGTTTCGAATCTAGGCGATGCATTAGATTCAATTATTCGACTTACAACATCTAGCAATTCAAATGATGATTCATATAATTTTCAAACAGATTTTGTTTAAAATTGTTATTGTTTTTGTCGAAAAATAAAAAGAAAGAAAAATTAACTAGAACATATTCAAAAAAAAACTTTATGTAAATGTTCTAAAGTTGATAGCATTGCAAAAATTCAATTTCTACTACATTGGTTGTTGCATTTATATTAATTTTCAAATTTCAAATGAAATTCTTTGAAGAATAGTATTGTTCTTTTCTTCAGAATATTCTGCCATTTTATGAAGATTAATCGTTTTAAATCATGTATAAGAATCAATTAAATACATGTACATAATAAGTATGTGTTTAATTGATGAAATACTCTGATAGATAAAAAAAAAAGCTTGTTTATTTTATAATTTTCTTATGTTGATGGTAACGTTTTTGTTGCACATATATTATTGAAATATCTGAATAATGAAGTAAATTTTCTTTTTCTATTATCATACCAAAATGTGTCAAACTATTTAGTTGAAATATAGGTTGATAAATCAATGAATGAATAGTATCCTTCTAACGATAAAGTCAATCAATTATAACATAATTATCAGTTTCAAGTCTTTCTATTATTAGAACTTCTGTCAGAATGAAACATCCATTGATCATTGCTATAGAATTTTTGGATATATTTACAGAACTTTGATTCAGCTATATAAGTTTGAATTAAAAACTTTGCATCATTTTTTTCTATGTACTGATGTAAGTGAAAGTTTCAAGCTACGTCTAAGTCGGAAGTATTTTTTAGTTCAGGTATCTTTTTTTTAAGTCTTCGATAGTTTGAATATAACTTTCATTGATCAATATAGGACATCATTCAATTTCTTCATTGGAATCATTACTAACAAAATGAATTGGATTTTTGCTGGTCGAATATTCAAAGAGTATTTTCAGAAATTTTATTTTCATGTTTTTAAAATAATTTATATTATTCGAATCTGCTTTAATAGTTCTAGTGAGCACAATAGTTTGAAGAAATATAATTCGATCAATATCGCTTGACCAAAAAAAATTTCAGTACATGACTTCGACTCTACAAATTGGTACTGTTTGAAGACAATGATAGACCTTAGTACATTCTATAGTGTGAATAAGTATTGATGGTTCTTAACATGAGCAAAAAATGCAAGAAAAATAATTAAAAATATTTCAAAAAATAAAACAGTCATTCTTAAGTTGATTATAATCATACAAGAAAAAAAAATCTATTTTTAATACACATAAAATATAGGCATGAAATTATATATAGAATTAAATTCAATGAAATAATAATTATCAAATATACTTTTTGTATTTTTCTTTTATTATGTTTCTCATCCACTGTCTGTGAAGAAATTTACAGATCTATGATGAATTTAGTTATTTTTGTCATCGTGTAACAGTAAATAATTTCAAAGTCACGTTATATGACTGAGATATCTGTTCACTATGCAAGAAAAATTCGAAACAATGTATCGTAAGTTCAAAGAAAAATGTAAGAAAAAGAAAACTTTTGGATGAAGCCGACCTTAAAAAGGGCATTCTCTTACTCTCAACTACCATAGGTTGCTATTGACATTAAATCCATTGTAAATGGAATATTCGAACAAAAATAATAATAGATGATTCAGTCATTTAGAGAATAATATAGAAATTTCGACATTTACGAGTCTAACAACAAAATGTCAATAGTTTTTCACAATTTTCAGTAACATTTTCGTAAATTCTGAAATGTATTGATGATATCAACTATCAAATGATATGATAATAAATATAAAGAAAAGAATTTTTCATTCGATTTATCGAAATATCATCCAGGGTATGCATACAGAGCGATCTATTCGATAGAAAAAGAAAAAAAGAAAAATACACTTATATAGTAGAATGTATTTATGACTAGGCAATGGCTGTCAATGGTATCTTTACTTATGAAGATCTTTATGCAGATAAATTTCAAAATTATCATCGTAGATTTATTCCTCAAATATCATCTTCTTTCACATCGAGTCAACATTTATCTGTATTGAATATAACAACAACAACAACAACAACAACAACGATTGTTCCTACATCATATTTTTCAAAATTGATTTCATCAACAGAAATAGAATCGAATATAAAACTAAATAAACTTGCGAATGTTATTCCATTTATTTATTTTTATTGGCTTCTTGTACTACTTGCAATTTTCCTAACACTTGCATTGATAATTATTTTCATTTGTTATTGTCGTCATTTTTTTAAGAATTATAAAACACGCAGGTAAATTAAGAATTTTGATATTATATAATCTATTGATTGAATTGATTGAAAAGAGAATCATTATCGAGCTTCTATCAATATCGAACAACAAATCAACGTGCATATCCATATAATATATATCAGTCAACAGCATCACTATCTCATTCTTTATCTACACCTCCATGTCCATCGAAATCATTAGAATGTCTTAATAATCAATTTCATCGACAAGATCTCGATATAACTGATTCTCCACAGATTACACGTATTTATAAATATCGTAATAGATCTTTAAGGTAAAAAAACAAATATTTAAAGTTCTTCTCTTAATATTATTTTCTTTTTTAAATATGAAGTACATTCACAAGTTCCACATCATATTTACCTTCTTCATTACAAAGTCGTTTAAGTACGCGTTCATTTGATCCATCATTAAATGTGGAACAATTGTATGAATCACAAGTAACTAAAAATTTTTTTAAAATAATTTATAGAAAAATATATTTATTTAATTGTTTTATTAGCGTGTAAGCATGGCAGTGAATGATGAACCCAATGAGAATTCATCGATTATTGACATCAGTTAGATATTGATTTTTTCTTTCATGAAAAATTATTTTAAAAAAACGATAATTTTGTATGTGTTTTCTTTTTGTTATCGTTTAAAATCAAACAAAAAAAAATTGATAAACTCAAAAATAAAACAAAAATTTTTGTTTAAATTGCCATCATCTAAACATCGTATTGTCTGAACAAGATGATATAGGCCGAGTTGTTTCAGATAAAATGATAGTTAATTGATATCGTACGAATAAGCATGAATATTTGATGCAATAAATAAAGAAAGCGCGGTAGGATCTATTATAATTCTATTTTTATTACGAATAAAGCGTATTTAATTATCATCATAAACCGTAGTTAGTAAATCTGTTGGCAGACACCTGCAATACAAAATCTACAGATATTATAATCTTAAAATTAATCGAAGATAAAAATAATAATAAATCACCATCTAATATTATAGACGAGTTATGCATGGTAACAAATTATGCAAAAGAAATGATACGATTTGTTTTGCTCCTCACAAATTGATAAAAATTGAGTATGCAGTTTAGATAAAACTTGCCGAGTATGAAATATCTACATCCGAAGAATTTCGATTAACATTTCTATCTTATCAAGAATAATGAAACCGAAAGACCATGAGAAATTAGTGTGGCTCAATGTTTGTCATGATCATAGATTCAATAACCATTTTTCTTTTTCAATTAATATTGGTTATATATATTGTGAGATTACTCAATAAAACAATTTGATATGAATTTTTATTGTTTACATTCAAACGCTTTATATTCATATCTCTAACAGTATGCCACATTAACATAGCCAATAGCATACATATAGAACTCATTACCTTGAATATCTATCCTATTCTAGTAAACTGAGAAATATCTATTTAGTATTCAATGAACATTTGAGAGCACGAAATTGTTCACAAAATCATTTTGAACCGAAGGAAGCCAATATACCAATAAAGTGACTTTAATGTATTATAGTTCTTTTCATGGTTAGCTGTGCATCTGTAACCTACTTGTTGTTATTCAATACGTTTGGTAGATCTATCTTGATAAGAAGTATTCAAATTCCATTCATGATTTTACAATACCATCATGAGAATTTATTATATATATATATATATTTTTTTTTTTTGTTAATCTAATTTGTAAAATCCTTTCTATATTAAAAGTATTGTTCAAAAGTATAAATCTTTAATTCTTTTATTAGAAACTGATTTTTGATAGAACAATACCAATGTAAATATATATGTCAAACTAAAATTATCCAGAAATAGCTGTTTCTTAACTAACAGGCAAAATTAAAAGTCGAAATATGATGGTGTTAATTGTATTGTAAACGAGAAGATTTGAACAACAGCATGAAATTTATAATTTATTACATACCACAATATGTTGAGAAAGAGGACCAATGACAGATATTTAAACTGTAAATTTCTTCAGTCATACACAATAATAGATAACAATGTTTAGTACAGTCTATGAGGAATGTAGAAATCACCTCTTATTGCAATAAAATTCAAGACTTCTTAATAATCATGTTCCGTATAGAAGTGATAATAACAAATCTTAAAACGTTACTAATTTTTAATATTGTTCTTGTCATTGATCTTTAGATTTTTAAAGAAAAATAAATTTATATCACTAGTAAATAAAAAAAACCAAAAAAGAACAAATTGAAAAATTACAAGCAGAAAATAATTCATTGAAGAGTCTGTTCAATGATTTTCGTGACATGTTACATCAATTAAACGAAGAAATGGGTAATTTAAAGATAGAAATTACGAGTTTAATGGTAAAAATGAAACGTTCAGAGGAAAGTTCTAACTAGATTATTCGTTCATTTGTTACTATGGTTGTATTAACAATAACTTCTGTACTTATTGTAAATTATCTTTCTTGATTTTGTTACAACTAATTTTTTTATCTATATGTTCTGCCTATTGTACTTAATAACACATCAGTAAAACTAATACATATATATAATCCTTGTTTATATTCACATAAATTCAAATTCATTTAAGAACATTGTAATTGCTAAATGAACTAATATTCCATGAAATTTCAATCATAATCAAATATTTAAAAATAAAGCATATTAATGTTCTGAATTTTATATACATAAATGACTAGCGATATCCAAACTCACAAAAAAAAAATCAAGAAGTGACATTTGCTGACGTCTCTGGTTCATTAGTCATCGTAAGTCCCTGATTTTGAAGACAATGTAAACGTCGCTCAACAGCTTCACGATATTGTTGTAAAATTAAACGATCACAATCAGTCATTGCTTGTTGACTTAAACAATGGAATAAAACTTGAGCTTCAGTATATGGTTGAACACACTTAAAAAGAAAATTTCATTAATTTATTTCATTACAAGAAATTAAAAGAACATTTTTTACTTCTTGAGCTTTACCAAAAAATTCTAAACTGGCTGCATTTAGACATAGTTCGATAGCATGTAAATAAAGTAATTTATCAGCAGTTAATGGAACACCTTTCATTTCATCACGTGATACAAGTTCTTCTTGTGTACTTAATTGTTTACACATTATTAAACAATATTTATATTTATTATTTAAATCACTAACAGCAGTTCTATTAAATAAAAAAATTAAGATAATTTTTAATTAAGAAAACAAATTTAATTACCGAACAATAGCTGTTGGATGTAATTTTCCTGATTTTAATGTATCGCTAAAAGCAACAAAAAAGAATTGATTTTCGAAAAATATTACTAATAGGGATGCCCCAAAGTTATCAAGATTGGGGGAAGGAGCGACTACTAAGAAGGTAAGGTTAACAACATGGAGAAGAGAGTCGATCCTTGTTACGTGGATTGGTATGCGAAAAACAGCGAAGGAAATCGTTCACTTTCACTGGGAAAAAACAAAAATTTTCCAATATTGAGGAAGTTCATCCTCGTTTCCCTCCGTGCCCGGAACACCTCTGCTTACTAATGTTATTTTACACTTTCATCGTATAAACTTTTTTCATGATATTCACTTATTTATATATTAGATCATTGTATTTTGAGTCATTTTGATTACCTTTCTACTCCAGAATAAGCGAATGTAAGACTTGGTTTACCTTTCTGATGAACAGGGTTGTTGAAAAAATATTTTAATATTCGAAGCAAAAATTTTTGCTATTCAACTAAATCAAAATTTCATTTTCTACTATAAGAACC